AAGCGGAATTGGCCCGTCAAGTCATTTGATGTCAAGTCTGCTTTTTTGCACAGTCCAATCGACTATGAGGTCTATGTTCGTCCGCCAGAAGGCCTTGATGTCCCCGATGGTCATGTTCTGCGCCTCCGTAAGGCTCTGTATGGCACCAAACAGGCGGGCCGATGCTGGTGGCTTTATCTGAAACAGCAACTCTCAACCTTTGGTTTTTTCCCTAACCCTGAGGATCAATCAACGTACACCCTCCGTCGTGGTGATGACACTGCCTTCCTTTGGATCCACGTGGACGATGGTCTATTAACAGCCAGCTCTCAGACCCTCCTGGATCAATTGCAATCAGATTTGTCTTCCATCCTCGATCTTAAGTGGGACTTGGAGCTTGCAAGCATCATCGGCATCCGAGTTCGCGAGACCCCTGGCGGATTCTATCTAGATCAGCCCATGCTTATAGACAAACTCTTACTCACCGAGCCATCTTCAGTCAAGACCCGGACGCCAATTGTTTCATCCGACCTAGCTTCCAATCCTGCAACTCAAATGGATAAGGAGTACCTTTCTCGGATAGGGATGCTCCTGTATCTATCACAAGGAACCCGGCCTGATATCTCCTTCGCTGTGAACTTTTTGGCTCGCTTCTCAATGAATCCTGATGAAACCCATTGGAAGGCCCTCCGACATCTCATCTCCTATATTCGGTTCTCCTCTCGACTGAGTCTTCCTATTATGGCAGATGCTGATGAACCCCTCAATAAATGTGTGTCCACCTATGTCGACGCAAATTGGGGAGGAGAGGCAGGCAGGTTGGTTCATGGTTTCTTCACTCTTGCCTGGGGAGCTCCAATATCATGGTCATCCAAGCGACAGTCTTGTATTGCCCGCTCAACTTGCCAGGCTGAATACATGGCCTTATCATTTGGCGCTAAAGATGGCCAATGGATCAGCAATCTGGTTCAACAGCTATTCCCCATTGATCCCCCAATCCTTCTCTCCGACAACCGCTCTGCTATTGCAATCAGCTCCGACTGCGCTACCCGAAAAAACCACCGTCACATCGACCGTGAATTTCATTCAATCAATGAACTCCTGTATCTTAATCGAGTAGTGATCAACTGGATTGGCACGGACGAGCAACTCGCCGACGTCTTCACCAAGGCACTGGATTGGAAAAAGCTGGAAGATTTTTTGATAAAGGCGGGTATGAAGACCCAGCCTCACACTATGGCAAGTAATGGGGGGACAGTATGCGCTGGCTGCAAGGATCATACGCTGTGGTGGCGGGAGCGTGCCTTGGCCAAAGCTTTGGCCGGTTTGTTTGGGGCATGCGGAATGCTCGCGGCGCTGATGCGGAAAGCACGCGGAGCTGACGCTACACAAGCAGGCTGAGGAAAGCGGCGGTGCATTAGTGGAAAGTCTAGCTTTCCGAGGCGCGGGAAAGCGGAGAAAAGTAGACCGAATGCACAAGGTTCTGAAAAGCTTACTGCGGGGAATCCGGGCACCGGCGGACACCGGGGGATCACGGTCGACTGCGGAACGAGGGTTCAGTGTATACTGCGGAGGGGCTACAAAGAGCGGGGAGCACCGAGAGGCGGAAGCGGGGTTCGGAGCGGACCAGAGGCGGAAGCGGCGGTGGGAGACTTGCTTATGAGCGGCCGGAGGAGTACCTGGACCGACAGGCGTCGGAGGGGTGACATGCGGAGTCCGAGGGGGTGACAGCGGATGACATCGCGGGAAGCATGGAGGGACTGGAGTGTGGGATACTTGGGAGGAGTGGAGTTCGAGGCAGAAGAAGGGAGAGAGGAGGGGGACTTATGACTCAGAACATATCAGAAAAACAGAGTGACTTAGGAGTGAATTGTGTATTAGCCTAAAGAATTGTTAGAGATAGATTAGAGTTAGAGTATTACCTACTTACAAGAACAATAGAGAGTGTTATTTTACCTACCTACAAGACCATCAAGCAAGTTACCTCGGACAACAAACCGGGAGTAAGACGTGTTGCGGAGCGGAGAAGTGCAAGAAATCCTCTAGGGCGCGCCTTACTTTCCACAATGCCCCCCGCGATTGTTCGTCTCCCTCCTGAACACACAACATCCCCAGAGGATTGATTGGTTCAACAGCAGCTAACCATCATTGGGTTATTTTTTACAGTTCCACTGGCATACTGTTGCTCCCAATCCGGATGGGTCATCAATAATATTCCTGTACTTTTGTTTTTATTTTCATTTTTATCTTTATTCTTATTCTTACTCTTATTCCTATTTTGATTTTTATTTTTATTTTTATTTTTATTTTTATTTTTATTTTTAGGGGGTTGGAAAAACGACTCCCAAAAATTTGACGGCGACTCCCATTTTGGTCGAGGGGTCGTCGGACGGGAGTCGTCTTTCCAATTCCCCCTGGGGGATTGGGAGTCAACCTCCCAATCCAATTTTATTTTATTTTTATTTTTGGGGGGGGGAGTGGGTGCCCATAACTTGCCGGCGAGTGAGAGTTTTGTGGAGGGGGTCCCCTCCCCGAGGTCGGCGGGAGGCATTTTCACCCGGGAGGGAGAGGAGTACGATCTCCGAAGACCAGAAATATATCTATTCCTAGTTTTCGAGGACGGACAGTCTCCATGGCCGCAAGTTATCACTTGCGGTCATCGAGACTGTACAGTCTCTCGATGACCGGAAGGAAATCCCTCCGGTCATCGAGACTGTACAGTCTCTTGATGACCGGAAGGAATCCCTTCTGGCCATCGAGATTGTATGGTCTCTATGACCGGAAGGAATCCCTTCCGGTCATCGAGACTGTATGGTCTCGATGACCCCCTTCCGGTCATCAAGATACTGTACAGTCTCGATGACCGGAAGGGT